ATTCTTCAATAGATACAGTCTCCATAGTAAGGAAGCGGAAAGTGACATGCGATAAATGAAATTAATAATTGCATACGCGTATCCTAAGGCATTGCAATTCGGATTGGTTAAGATTATGTATAGAAAGTTTATTATAAATTTCAATATGCCACTAAGGTTAAAGCTAAATTTTAAATAATAAAGTGACGCATTAACTTCTTCTAGTTCAAGGCTCTGTAATAGGGTTATTTCGATATTAATTGTTAATCTAACATAGATCCAAGATCAAATTATATAAGTGAATAATACACGTAAAAATTATCATTGCAGTTTCGAAAATACACGATTAGAGGCTTCCAATGATTTATTATTTAGATACCAATTGGATAAGATTCAAGGACTTTTGAGAGAAGTCTGGTAAAATTGCAAATGATACAAGTAGAGATGGGACTAACAATACGAAAAAAAAGTAATTTCTAATTTGTCGGAGTAATAATTTATAAAGAAAGATATTTTTTTTCAATGATTCATGAGGTATGACATTTGAATTTTTAATTTTTAAGTCCCTTCTCTATATATAAGTAAATAAATAAAGTGAGTGCACAAAACTATAACCAAATTTTTCTTTTAGAGAAGATTGATTTACCCATTGTTAAAATAATAATAATAATTGTGGCAGATCATAATGAAATCGGATTAAAATGAAATTGGTGACCTTTCTTGCTTATCTTTAAAGCTTATAAAACCCACTTATTCTCTTTTATTAATAAAACTAACTCTAAATCCTAACTCTAACACTAACCCTAACTCTTAAAAATGTCCCCCAAAAAATTTTAAATTTTTCTAAAACAATAGAAAAATTTCATTTTAATCTAATTTCATTTTAATCTGTCACAATAATTATAAAAATTAATAGATTTAAAAAAAAAATAATAATAAAATAGCTTTTAAATGATATTATAATACTGTTTTAGTTTAAGTACTAAACCCTCATGACAAATAAAAGCACATTTTTTATGGTACAAATAATTCAATCTTTTTTTGAATTGATTTACAGTATAATAATTCAATTACTATGTCAATTATCATCAGAGAATCATGACTTAATAGATCTGAAATGAATAATACGATTTTTTAATTAATTACCCTGATAGGGTTGTATAAAAAAAATAGGTATAATTATTATAAATTTAATATTTCAATAATTCAATTGATTTTTTATTTAATCAGCAGTAGCATCTTAGTATATTTTTATTAAATATCAATTTCTGAATTAATTTTATTAACAGTTTAGCATTAAAAAATTGGGTAATTAGCAAATTTTAATACTTAAAATTATTATAAGTATCATTTTAAAATAAATTGAATTGAATTTTTTGAATTAAATCAACACATAAATTGTTACTATTATTATTTTTAATTTATTGCATTGTTTTAATTGATTAAGGAATTACTTACTACAGTTTTTAAATCTTTGGTGAATAATAAGCATCATTATTGCCACATCTAATGGCAATTGCGATTCAATTATTTGTATGAAAGTTTACTTTTTGTTATTATTATTCATAAATCATAAATGCAATTATTTTTCATATTTTTAGTATCTTCAATTAAAAAGTAATACAATACAATTTTATGACAGGAGCATTTAATGTTTTTTTTTCAAAGTGATATATAAAAATAAAGGATTCCTTTTTCTCTTATATAATGTCCAAAAATAATAAAAAAAATAAGGATAATTTTTATTTAACAATAAAAAACCTATTGCAGGAAAATAATTTTGATGTATTAGACTTGAAATATTGTACTACCAAGTATTCTACTGTTAAAGTTTCTTTCAGAGAAAAAAAGGGGTTTTTTCGTAATCTTATTATTTGGTATGAAAAAATTTTCAATGTCGAATATTATGTTAACTTGAATGATACATTAAATATTTTGGAAATAAACTACAATGATGAACTTGACAAGTGTCTAATCATTTTAAAATCATTAGTGAACGAAGATGGTACTGATGATTTGAAAAAGTTTAGTAATCAATCTCAGAAATTTATCAAAATGGCTTATATATATGGAGATAATATAATTGTTCATCTAAAAAAAGAGTATTTTGCGAAATCTAAAAGAATAACAAATTGTTGTTTGGTAAATTAAAATAATTTAGTTAACAATCCAAACATACTTTGTAATAATTTTGTTTCTGCATAAAATATTCTTAATTAAGCTATAGAAATTAATTCTTTTATTTAAACTTTTCAGTTTTTATTAGCTATATTAGCTATTTGACATGAAAAATTTTGTTCAAATTAATAATGGACATTATAATTTTACTCTACTGTTAGCTATCATTGATACTAATCGACTTAGAGAGAAATATTTGCCAATGCAAAGCCTTCAACATAATCTTTCTCCAATATAAAAAATTCCATTATGTCATGTGTATATTTCGGCAGTGGTGCAAACTATTTGTTTTTGATACTACTTTTTTGATACTAAGAAATTTTAAAAACTTTGAGTGAAGATATCTCTATAACTATCCGCTTGAATCTAAAAAACCTTTCCATTTGAATGCTATTGAATCATAGAATTCAAATAAAAAGTCAAGATATCTTCACTTTAAATTAAGACTGACAGTTTATTGTTGGCTAAGAGTGAAGAGGCCAGAATTACTCATAATTTTACTAATGTAATTGCTGCCGCCTTTTAAGTAAAAAATTGTAATTTTATTATATTGTTTTTAAAAAATTTCTATTTTCATCGTGAAAATTAAAAAGTTAATTCCAGCCTGAAATTAGTAAACAATTTGTAATGTGGGCCAGAATTTTGATAATCCTCGGCCGTTAGCCCAAGAGGTTAGAATAAATTTAGGGAACAGGTATTTTCATACCCGATTTTGGTATTTCCACACCCTTTGATCACGTGCATATATATTAAAATAGTGTAATATTTTATTAATATTAGTAAATTTTAACGAAGTTGTATTATAGCTACTCAATTTTTAATCCAGTGAATTGCATATCATGGTATTGTATTGCATAATTTCGTAATAATTTACAAGGGTATGGAAATACCTGTTCCCTAAATTTATATTGTTTATTGTTAATTTACAATATTAGGCCTTATAAATTGTTTCCAAACCATTTATTAGTACTTCTCTTTTAACTGTATAATAAAATTAAATAAAAAATTAAATAAAAAATTTACAAAAGTGGATTTTTTTTTTTAAGAAAATTTCCTCATAGAATTTAAAAACAATTAGACTTTAGTATTTTTGTTGGTTGATGTATTCTTTTGTATTAGTATTGATTATTAAATTTTCTTTACAGCCATTTCAAAATTACAGAAAGATGCAAACCACTATACCGGTGATTTTTTATATTTAGGAATTTTTTTGTTTAAAAAAAGAATAAAACAATTTGGCTTATTTCAATATAAATAAATCATAATAATTATTCCAATGCTGGCAGAAAACAGTATTTCGAGTAAATTCTAGTGATTACAATTTTATCAATTCTATCAGAATTATTCTGATCTACAGTAAAATAATAAAATTTCCACCTTGACATCATATCAACTGTAAGGTTATAATTGATTTCATAATACCACATGATTTAAAGGACCTATGGGTCCATGAATTTGCGTGATTTAACATAATAATCATTACAACTAGGGATGTTAATCAGTCCCGCAGTAATTGTCAGCCAACTTTGAGCAAGATTTATAAATAATTGCATTTTTAACAGATATTCGTCCAGTAAATAAAGTCATGGAAAAATAATTTTTCTGTTACATTTTCTAATAGAAGTTTATCAGTTTTTGCATTAGTTTTTGTGTAAATTAAATAGGACCAATTAGGGACCGATTAGCTAAAATTTTTCCACACTGTTCGGTCCCTAATCGGTTTTATCAAGTCAGCTGACAATTACTGCGGGACTAATTAACATACAAACCAAAAACGCAATACGAATTGATTTGATCATCATTTGCCAACCAATTAGAGAATTTAGAGTATTTAAACCAAAAAGGCAATTCCTTTTTGGTTTAAATACACTAAATTCTCTGATTGGTTGGTATTGTAATTTTTAGAGTAAATACTCTAAATGCTTTCAGAAGAATAGAAGAGAATTAAGAGATACTGTATTTATAATGTTACGGTGATGAAAAACCTTTTTATGAATATTTCTTTAAAAATTAACTGAAAGATTTTACTTAAAATTTGAATCACTAGAACCTTACCATTAGCTGATGAGAAAGGGAAGTGACGATGACGCTATAATCATTAGAATCTTGTTTCAACATATAAATTAATTTCATTAAATGGTACTATTAGAGAATCTTCACTTATCGAAACTCTAGATGATAAACCAAATTTATTTTCATTATATAGTACTTCTCTTTTAGCTGTATATTTAATATCAATACTTATGTTTATATTTAATATTAATTTATAGAATTAATATATTTATAGCCATATGCTATATATATGTAGCCATACTATCAATATAGCTTTTTTTATAGAAAAATTGTGCAGCCTATTAACATTAGGGTTAGGGTTAGGTTAGGTTGGGCTTAGGGTTGGGCTTAGGGTAAAATTGCGAGAGGAGCATTTTTAATTAGTTACACAACAGGGTTACCCTAGTAAAATTTTGAGATATTAGCAATTTTATGACTATGGCTACATATAGCCACGGCTATATATATATTTTTCCTAATTTATATAAAAAAAATTTACAAAAGTAAATTCTTTTATTTTAATGAATTTTCTCATAGAATTTAAAAACAATTGGACTTTAGCATTTTTGTTAGTTAATTTTTTTTTTTTTGTATTATTAGGCCATGCAATTTTTACAAAAAAATTTTTTATGTTATTAAGTTATAAAAGTACTGTACTTCTGATTTACTAGCATTAATTTAGCCAGAATTTGCAGATCATAATGCTGGCCGACTTTACGTAATTCTGGCAATCAGAATCATATGTAATCATCACATGCATGTAGCCAATCATTTTTTGTTGACTATAAAATGACACTAGTAACGATAAGTTATACCTATTCTAGTATTCGTTTTTTCACAGTGCCAGCTGCGCCATCATATTCCTGGACATTGCGGTGATGTAGTGTTTTGTTTAACGTCCCCTCTTAAAAAATTCGTTTTCATAATCGGTGTTCAAACGTAAAGACGATGAAGCGACGAACACTGGTGTCAGACATGAACCTGGCCGGCAGGAATTAACTGTAAGATATGTTCTGAGACTCTTGCGAAATGTCTGGCTTGAGATACGGGCTCATTGAGCGATGGCAGCAGATTATTTTGTAATGAGCGAGGGTAAAAGTGTAGTCTTAGTAATTGTGTTTACGTTTGTCGTTGAAACTTTGTTTTGTTTTCGTGGACGAATTGGGCATGTCGATTCAGTTTGTTTTCTTTTACCTTTTTTTTTTTTTTCTTTTAAAAAAAAATTAAAAAAAGCCTATTATGGAAGTATAATTCTTTTTTACTTGTTTTTTTTTATTTTTTTTTTAATTAAATACTTATTTTATTTTTTTTTGTTGGAGAAATATTCGTTGTTGGCATTGTCGTTCTTTCCGGAGTTTTTTTTAACTACTAACCTAGCTACGTCACGTGATGCATGTTGGGTGGTATGAAACAGTAGTTTACGCCCGTATTGCTCGGGTATTGCTACCGGCGGTAGAATCCGTTAACCTGTAGGCAAGGACATAGTAAAACCGCACGATCGTTCGGGTGTATCGCAAATGATGAGTAACGAGGATGGCAGTTGATGATACAATTTGTCAGGTTACTTGTCCTTGTAACTCCACATCGTTTGGATAAATTGTTGAAACATAAGTCCATACCACATCCCATTAGCCTTTTGCACCCAAATTCGATTCTATACGTATTTACTTCATTTTTTTCGTCGACGGTCTTTGATGTTTTTTTTTTTTAATTTCGATGAGCCCCTCCTTGTTTATCGATCTTATCTATAATGGAGGCGTAGTTTTGTTAGTTTAACTTGGGCTGTATTTCGGGGGTTCTGGCATGGCCGAGTAAACTTTTGATATACGATCTAATAAACTTGCGCTTATAATTTTTGGCAAGTTATAAGGCTAAAATTAGATCCCTGCATGACACCGGTGAGGGTCACGATAAATCTAAGCCACATTATGGTTTATGTGGAGTTTAGTTATAGTAAGACCTATTTTAAAGCTAAGAAATCTCTCGGCTGTGGTATGACCTTAAGTAAACCAAGGGTTTTTTAAATTAGTTTCTTCCCTTGGGATGGTATAGAGTAATCATACTATCCTGAATAGATAACAATCTGTTCTTAGGTTGTAGCATGATAAAACCACTCCCTATTCTTTTGTTGGTTTTTCAAAGGGAAAAAATCAACCGAAGGTTGCTCGATATAGTTGAGATTAGATTTGATCTTTCGAGATCGATTTTAATTGATGAAGGCTCACTTCGACTTCCTTGAACACGCCTGGTATGTTATGATATTTCTATCCAGACGTCAAAGTCCAAAAATAATAATGAAATATTCTTTCATTTGGGCTTGGCACACCCAAGTGGTCGATTTGTAATTTTATAAATATAAACATTAACTCGGATCAAAGAATCCGTCATTAACATCTTTTTTATTCATTTTCTTTAACTCCACTTTTAAAAATTACCCTATTTAAAAAATTCGTTTTCATACTTTACTTTTCTTTGTTGGGTTGTGTCGGTGTCAATCTCCCCGTGGTACAACCCGGGCAACTTTACGTTTTTTTTTTAACTGTTAATGTAAAGGCTAATAGACATCTTTTTTTACTTGTATTTTTTTAATAAATAAATGGTTTATTTAATTAATAATAAATAAATAAAGTAATAAAATTATAAAAGTAAATAAATAAAGTAAAAATGAAATTTATGCATATTTTAATTATTTATTTCACTAATATATGTGCCTGAAATATGATCTTGTTGAGTATCTTGATGAAGTACTTGTTCTTGAAGCTGCTGTAAGGTTATCATTGATTTCATAATACCGCGAATTCATGTGATAATAATCATTACAACATTGTATAGAATTTGAATTTCCAACTAATTAGTTTTTAAATACAAATTGTTTTGATCATCGTCCGCCTGAATTTAGCGTATTTAAAATCGAAAAGGTAATTCCTTTTTTTAGTTTAAATATGCTAAATTCTCTGATTGGTTGGTATTGTAATTGTCCGAAGCGTAGCGAGGATATATGAATTGGTGTGAAGTTAATTAAAAAAAATTTTTTAATGAAGATTTCGCTAATAACAAAAATAAGGTTCTTGAATGGCCCCTAGAATCATTTGAATTTAGTTTTCTGATGTCTACTTTGGTGGCAAACTATAAATGGGTTTTTATATATGGGAGTGAGTTCAAGCAAATTTTTTATAATAAATTTTT